CATAGGTTATTTAACAACAAATCACACTTATATTGTGTTGCAAAATGAGATCTTGACCAATTTTTTGCAGGCCTCTCAATTAGCCACCCACAAGCATCTGGATCATCCTTCATATTATCCATCTCTGCTTCCCACCAAGGCAATGTGGTTGCCCTCACAGCAGCCCATAACAAATGTTTTAGAGTAAGTCCTGTACATGTCTCACGCACATTCTATGTTTAGTATTTGGTAAAACTGTTTGCATAGCAGAAATTAGCCCATTCTGTTTATCACTTATAAACACCCATGCCAAACCATTTTGGATCCCCAAGTCTGCAATTAAGAGTTCTAGAAACTATATCCAACTACTTTTGCTTTCTATTTCAACTATAGCATAGGCCAATGGGAACATACCATTGTTCCCATCAACACTAACTGCAGTTAAGATCTGCCCTGAGTAGGGTCCTTTTAAGTGGCACCCATCAACACCTACAACAGGTCTACACCCTTCTAAGAAACCTTTTTTAGAACCAGCTAAACAAATATAAATCCGTTTAAATAATGCATCATCACCTGCTAGTTCAGTTTTAATTATCACAGTATTTCCAGTGTTGGTATTCTTAATTTGCTATGCATAATCATTTAATCTCTCGTATTGTTCCTTGTATGAACCTTGAATGACCTTCTTAGCCAATTTTTTGGCCCTATACACTTGGTTCTGTGTAACATTCATTGTATAGTGTACTCTCACCTCATCTTGAAGTTGCCCCACAATCCAATTAGGATTTCTCCTCATCTTATCACAAAATCTTTTTGAAATCCATGTTGAATTAGCATATCTCAACCTGTCTACTCTGCCACATGTATGTTCAGCATGTATAGCCTTTAATACAAAAGTGGATTCCTCTTTATCAATCCTAGATGCATAAAGAACAAATGCACAGTTCCCAGATCCACAACACAGGACCTTTACCCTTCTCTTGTCATTTTTATCAAATTTCAACAACTTGCTGTTTACAATGACATACTATTTTATTGCTTCTTTCAAGTGCTCTCGATTTGCAAATTCATCCCCAAATGAAACTCTGGATTTTTAAGGTCAATAGCTCTCCTATATTGCTTGAACTTTGGTAGGCAAATCCTCTACTTTTTTGTTACATGTCGACTGGTGTTCTCATCATCTGTGGTGTGACTCCAAATTTAATCCATTATTTAACATATTTAAGTGAAATTACGAAATTGCCCTTGGAGTAGGGGTAATTTGGTCATTTATTATTCGGAAGGAATTTGGGAATTTCGATTATACCGTTGCGTAGAGCACGGCGAGATAAGTCCATAGAGACGTAATGGGCTTAAATCGGAGTTGTAACGAAGAAGTTACGAGCAAAACATCACTAGTGGCAAAACTGTAAATATTTTGAAATTGATTTTTGGTTAAAAAGACAGAATTGCCCTCATTTTCTCTCTCTCCCGCGCGTCTCTCTCTCTCTCTCTCTCTCTCTCTCTCTCCTCTGGTTCGCGACGCCACCGCAGCCGGCCACGTTTTGGCCGGTCGTTCATTCATCCGGCCACCACTCGGGTCAGGATCGGTCCCAAAATGACCGGCCTGACTTCGCCGTCCTTCCCCACCCGTTCTCCGACGTCAGCCGGTAGCGATACCCCCGAAAATTGCAGAAAAACGGTTAGTTTTTGCCTAGATTTTTCGGAGCTTGTTCCGGCGATTCTGTCCACCAAATCTTGCGATCAAGGTATGCTTTCTCATCTATTTTCCGAGCTCTAGCTGCCTGTTGGGTAGGAATTGATCAATTTGTAGCGTAGGCAACTCGATTCACGAATTGGATTTTGGCCGGATTTTGGAATGAGATTTCGGCCACTTCCGGTCAGTTTTTGGGGTACGTCCAAGAACAAAAGTGACTCCAAATTAGGTGTATTACCTAGGGTAGGAGTCTTGGCTCTTGATTTGGAAGTTTTCCGGCGATGCAATATCGCTTTGGACACCCACGCACTGCCGGCGCGTGTGGCACTGTAGCTGAGGGGCATTTTTGTCCCAATACGATCCTCTCGATGTCACGAGCATGTAGGTGTGCTCGGATTTCAATTTGGATACCGTTAGAGTCCCGAACGGATATCGCATATTGCGTATTTTCTAGGTCCACTAGGTTTGGACATTTGGATGGTCCTGAAGTTATAATATGTTGATCTAGGTATTACCAGGATCGTGTAGGATTTGACGGATCGTAAAACGGAGTCTCGGATACTCCGAAAATGCTAACCCTAGGGTTAGGGTTTTAGTAACCGTCCGATCATGCGATCGTGAACGATCCGACCGTCCGATCTGGACCAAACTTGCAGGACGAGTGTCCTAAACCATGTAGCATTCATAGAAACTGTCGGATTGGAATTTGGAGGTCGTGGGCCCCCCTGGCCCGTTTGACTAGGGTTGAGGTTTATGAAATAGAGGATTATATTTGTATATAATTATGTGTGTGTATAAAGGTATAAAAAGGGATTGAATTGTCAATTTGCGGTGCTATACGCACTACCCTATGTAACTCCTGTGATTGTGTTGAGGCCTTTAAACCCGTGCGGGCTGGTGAGAATGTAGCCAGACCCAAAGCGAACAGTAAGATGGCTGGTGAGAATATAGCTAGGCCCAAAGCGAACAGTTAGATGGCTGGTGAGAATGTAGCCAGGCCCAATGCGGACAGTGAGATATGCTTGTGAGGTCGCACGTGTCGTAGGAGTGGCCAGCGTGTTGACAGACCCCATACGAGGCCGGGTGCGTCCCGTCGTATGTGGAGTGATTGTGATTGTGATTGTGTTGTGAGGTCGCACGTGTCGTAGAAGTAGCCAACGTGTTGACAGACCCCATATGTGGCTGGGTGCGTCCTGACGTATGGGGGGAGACATGTGATATTGTGTTGAGGTCGCACGTGTCGTAGGAGTAGCCGACGTGTTGACAGACCCCATACGTGGCCGGGTGCGTCCTGACGTATGGGGGAAGACATGTGATATTGTGTTGAGGTCGCACGTGTCGTAGGAGTAGCCGGCGTGTTGACAGACTCCATACGTGGCCGGGTGCATCCTGACGTATGAGGGGAGCTATGTGATTGTGTTTGGTGAGTTGTGATGGATAAATCGTAGAATGTATGAATTTGTATGGCTGTAATGGTTTATTTGATATTAGGAGCCATGATTGATATGAAGAACTACGTGTGGCTTGATCCCTTAGTAGGGTACGTAGGCAGCCTGAAGTTATTAGGTGCAGCCACAGATTAGACTCCACTTAGGTGGTTTTATTGAGATTGGTTCGGACATCGTTGTTGGTCCTGAAACTTGGTTGAATTGAGGCTTGTTCAGTGGACTAAGTGAGCGGATTAGATTTAGTTAGGTTTGAAATCCTTGTCGGATTGTTGCACGGTTTAGGCCTAGGCCCCAAACTATTTGTGATAGTGATAGGAGGTTAAAACCTCGCGGGTTGGATTTTTGGGAAGTTAATTTATGTTATGTGAAGGCCAGAGGCCGATTATTTTGGAATTGTGTGAAATTATATTGTGCATGCTGCCCGCTGGGATATTAAAATGTGTTTCATGCAAGTGGAAATTTTGGGGAATATTCAATTTACAGGAGAGACTCTGCCGAAATTTGGGCAGAAAGTCTCGTGCCCTTAATCCTTCTTGGTAAAAGAGGACATAGTTTTAAGGAGTGAATCCGGCATGGGTGTGATGCCGAGGTCTCGCAGGATTCGTCTTGGGTTCTGTGAAATTCGGGGTGGGTCCTGTCAGGTGTTCCCATCAGAATATAAAGTATCTGAATCTGCCCCGTCATCAGAAATCTCTCCTGGCCCTTGTGTTTCAGTCTCAACATTCAATTCTTCATCACAAGGCATATTGATGTCTACATTACAATCTTTGTTTGCCTCATCATCTTCACTAAACTCATAATCACTATCCACAAACTCTAACTCTTCTTCTTCTGCATCAACTACAGCTTCACAATCTCTAAGCGAAACAACATGCTCAACAATATCTAAAGCCTCATTAACCTCATTCATTTGGTCTTCATTAAACCTCCCATAGTTGTATTCTTCACTCTGCAAACTAGGCCATTCCACAGATGTTTGAGTCCATGTCTTTTCACTTGTTTTTTTTGTTAGTTTATAACACTAACACTCTGTTACTTGTTATGCAGCCAACCATGTCACATATAACACTGTCATTGTTAATGAGCTTTATATTAGTTCAACCATTACTGTCATACATCTTACAATATATTTGCAAACCAATCTTCTTCTTAGTTAGGTCCACTTCATATCCTAACGCTATACTTATTTTCCTTAAATCCAAGAGTGATAGATAATCATCCACACAGTTGTCCAAATAGCACAATGTCCCCCCCTTATACACCCCATCTTGTACAACACCCCTATGGTGAATTTCCAAAGTGCAGAACTCACCCTTATTTGCAAATGAAACAGTAATCTCAATTTAATATATTCAACACCAATTTTTAAAATCTTTGCTCACCTAAATAAGGACAAATCACACTAAACCCTATCAAATGTGTGCAACTGTGCAATTAATTGACACAAATCATATCAGTAGGACCACAAACCCTTAAATTCAACAATGGATAGTAGGACCAAGTATGCATTCAATGTCTGACCAAAACACAAGGTATGCGTTCAATGTTGTTGAGTTGACCAAAAAGTCAACAACCAGTCAAAAACTGAACTGGACTGGTTTGGATCAATTCTGGTTCCCGTTCTATGCCTTCAAAAACCAGACTGGATCGAATCAGACTGGTCAAATTAAAAAATATATAATTTTAATATATAATTATATTGTTAGACCTTTCCATACCAAGCCCAAGTCCAAAAGTCAAATAAATAAATAGGCCCAACTCCATTTCTTAACCATCTCTGCAGGCCCAACTCTATTTCTTAACCAAGCCCAACTCTTTATATTCATTTGTACCACTCCCTCAACCATTTCTCATATACCCTAGCCATCCCCTCCATCATCTCTCTTTCCAAAATTCTTCTTCTTCTCTCCTCTGGTTGCCGACTTTTTTTTTTTTTCCTTCTTTCTTCTTCTTTCCGCTCATCACCATCGCTCTTTGCAGTCTCTCAGCCCAACGCCACTGTGTCTGCCTCTCTCTTCTCTCAATCCAAAGCAGGTCAGCGTCTCTTTCTCTCTCTAATCCTTTGTATAGATTAGTATTTTTTTTTCTCAACGATTTGTGTTTCTTTTGATGCTTTTATTTTACTTTTTCTTCTCATATAGGTATTGATATTTTCTGTGATTTTGTGCTGATGTTGTTACTCAGATTTGAATTTTTTTTCTTTTGATTTTTTCCTATTTTGTTTTGACAGAAGTGTTCTTTATGCCAGATATCATTCCTCAGTGGCATCTAATTCTTTGGACGTTGTTGTAAACTTTAGGTTGGAGTTCATTCATTCATTATTAGGGTAAATTACTCAAATGATCCTCAAACTTATACTTGATTTACATTTTGGTCCCTCAATTAAATTATTAGTGCAATTGTCCATTAACTCTATATTATTTGCTCCATTTGTCCTAACGTTACATTCTGTCAATATTTCCATTAAATGTGAGGGCAAATTGGCCATTTCGTCCATTATCTCTCTCTCTCTCTCTCTCTCTCTCTCTCTTTTCTTCTTCCTCCTTCCAATCTGACAACTGGGTTTCTTCTTCTTTGTCAAATTTCTTCTTCTTCTTTGTCTTCCCAATCTGACAGCTGGGTAGCGTAGGGCATCAACTCCTCTCCACCAAGATGGCTGGGCAGTTTGTATTTGCAAACATTGTCCCATAAATGATCAAATTACTGTCCCATAAATGATTAAATTGTCCAAACAAACCCACCTGACTCTGATTGCCAACAACATTAACGTCTCACCACAATTTCCATGCTATCAAAAATCAAACACCCCAACTTCCCCAACCACCCATCTACAGCTCCATTCGATTTTCTGCATCAAATCGGCCCAACCCAATAGTTCATCTGTGAAAAAGATCATTGCTTTACGTTGTTGGACAGTCTAATTGACCATGGTGGAGACCTTACCACTCGGGCGGTTCCACCACCAAAGACTGGACTTGAAGCACTGGTTCTTGACCTTCTTATCCTCGCACGAAACGGTCTTCACTGTGCTTTGGATCGGGGCATTTGCATCAGTTTTTGTGTGGCTGAGGAATATTGTAGATGGGTTTTCAATATTTAAGCGAGTTCCAGTGAGAGCCATGCCAAAACTGAGACATGTGGCTTTTAATTTGACTGATTTTGGGGCAGTGGGTGATGGGGATACTTTGAACACTGAGGCCTTCGAGAAGGTTGTGTTGGCTATTTCCAAGCTGGGCCAAAAAGGCGGTGGTCAACCTAATATGCCACCTGGGCGCTAGCTTACAACACTATTTAATCTCACCAGTCACATGACTCTATTTCTTGCTGAAGATGCTGAGATTCTTGGGAGAATGGGAGGAGAAATCGCAGAAGGAAAGAGGATGAGAGGGGGGGTGAGTTCTGGGTCTGTTCTTAGTTTCTCCTTTTCTTTAATTTTTTATAATTTTGTATTTATTTTAACCCTATTTTATTTGTTAATTATGAAAAGTCATATTTACCATAAAGTTTGGTTAAATCTAACAGAAAATTAAATGGTAGGACCAATGGAGCGATTAATATATAGTTAATGGACCATTTGAACTAATAATTTAATTGAGGGATCAAAATGTAAATCGGGTACAAGTTTGAGGACAATTTGAGTAATTTAGGAAAAGAAAATGAAATTACAACAGTTGACAATCTGTTGCTCTTTGGAACAAGTACTGAAGCCGCATGGATAAAAAGGAAGACGAAAGCAGAGTTAAAAATGAAGATGTTAAAGAAAATTGAATTGTTCTTTCAATTGAAGCCCTGTAGAAGAAGCAACAAAAGAACAAAAGAATGCAGTTATAATTTTAAATTTGTTTGTAATTTAATTTGTTTTAGTGTGTGTATTTTGTTGTTGGGTTGTAATTTTAAATTCAATATTGGATTGTTTTATTATTTTTGTCAAAGAATAGTGGTTGTTTCAATATGTGAATTGGGCCAATTCTGATGTTTAAGCCCAAATTTTTTTAAAATAAGATGGGCTTGAAGCTTAAATACCCAAAAAACTAAAATGGGCATTACAGCAAGCCCAAAACGTGAGAATCGGGAACCGAACTGGATCCTACAAGTCTGGATTGGTTCGGTTTTACCTGTGGATTTTTGTCAAAACCGGATCAGACCGAATTGGTCTTTATTTTCAGTTCAAGTTCTAATTTACCGTGCCCAGCCCTAATTGCTGCACAATTCGAGCAGATACAAACATAATTCCAAAACAACAAAAAGCAATTAACATATAAAAAAGCATTTCTTGTATTGCCATTAGCATCGCATACCGTATATTGGGGGGGGGGGGGGTCTCCAGACGTCTTGAATTCAAACTCCATCAAAGTTGTTGACAACACCTATCGACCCCACAATGAGATAACCAACACGTATCAACCTAGACGACCTTATACACAATGACCCAGACAAAATCAACTCAAACTTGTCGGCCAATTCTTCAGCCTTTTGGCTTTTGTCTGAAAGCTTTAGCAGAAACCCTTTTGTCTGAAAGCTTCGTCTTTTTACTCTTCAACTTTTTCGCTCTTCTTTGGTTCGTACCTCTGGTCAATTATACTCGTATCAGATATCTAAAAGAGTAAAAGTCTTTTTTTGTCCCTCAAAACCAACCTGAAAAGACCCATCTACCCCTAAATGTAACGAAAAAATTAACAGAAGTAACGGTGGGACTAGTGATCTAAACGAAACTAAAGTTGAAGGACCGTGGGTACCATTTTGGAAATTGAAGTACTCAAATGCAAATTCGGTCAAAGTTGGGGAACTAATAAAACGATTAACACTATAATAAAACACTTTCCCCCCTTTTTCCCTTCTTTCTGTCTTGTTTATTATTATTATTTTTTTAATTTTTGAATAAAAGCGATAGTATAAAAATTACAAGGGAGAGGGGAGTTTCTCAAACATACACTACCAATGCACCATGCAGATTCGGACCTAAAACCACTAGTCTGCGAATCAAGTCCTTTTCCATTGAGTTAGACCCTGTTGGCTCTCTTGTCTTGTTTTGACATTTTTGTTGTTATTTGTTACATGAATGGACAATAAAGATGCGCATTGTATGACACATGACACATCGCTGAACGCTTGCATTATTCAGTCTTATCTTATTGAGTGGTTGTTTTGCCTGGAAGGTGAAAACACAATAGTGATGTACGGTGTACTAAGCCTGATAGAATAGTTTACATTATTGAGTGTCTTGTTTCCTTTCTTCCTTTTGCTATATTGAGCGTGGGACTGTGTAATTTATTAATGGGAACCAATTCTTTTTGTTTTGAACTTTTTATTTGAAAAATGAGTTATTTTTGTAATAATTGATGGTTTATTTAGTAATCTTATGATTTAGGGTTTGGGTTGTCTCCTCTGCAAATTAAAGAAGGAAGAACATCTTCTGTTTTGTTGCTATGGAATATTCACCTTTATTTAGAGTATGTTAAACGAACTCTAAAATTAATTGAGTGCACCATACTACCAAACTATTTATTGAATTACTAATTTATCCTAATATAAAATGACCAAAAAAGATATATTTAACACAACTTTATCTTCTTCATCCCCATATTCGAGCACGTAACCAATCCTGGCAACCAAACACACATCGACATGGCTTCTTCTACCTTCATCGACGACAAAATAGTTGGATAAGACCTGCTAGATGAATACCCCGGAAGCACCTGGGTTTATAGTAAAAATTCTTATGTGTTCCTACCAAAAGCATTATTAACAGGGATGAATTACCTGACAAGGAGGGGTGGATCTTTTATATGCCAATAGTTTGTCAAAGTTGGTGGTGTGTGAAATGCATTTTCTATTGGGAATTGGGTTTATGATTCAATACAATTCAACCAATTTACATTCGGTTCCAAGGCACTAGGTGAAGTTAGTTTTAAACACTTTGAAAGTGGTTTTTGTTCCATGGGGTTAACTCCTTGTGTGCCATGAGAATCATTTGATTGTGAAATGAAACCCGAGCCATGCGAATTTTCAACACAAATTAATCCCCCATTTTGCTACGGGACCATAGCTATCAATTTTGTCCGCTGTGTCGCTCATAATTTAACTCGTTTTTCTTTGCGTGTTTTATTAGCTGGAGGATGGTGTCCTTTTTGGCCGACAAATATTAATTCAGAGGTGATAAATTAATTTTCAAGAAAAAAGCTTGCTAAAAATATGTTGGCCACCAGAAAAAAAAAAAAAAAAAAAAACTTTAGAGGAGCAATTATTTGAGCCCAATAATTGTACCTTGCTGGATGTATATATACAAGTAGGGTTAGGGACTCTACTCACAACAAGAATAAAAGCCCTAGATAACATTATTGATCACCATGGATTCCAGTGATCAAAAGCTTCACATAGCAATGTTTCCATGGCTAGCCTTTGGCCATATGATCCCATACCTAGAGCTCGCCAAGCTCATTGCCCAAGAAGGCCACCAAATCTCCTTCATCTCCACTCCAAGAAACATCGAACGTCTCCCACAGCTCCCTCCGATTCTCTCGTCGTCGTTAATCACCTTCGTCAAGCTCCCGTTGCCCCGCGTAGATGACGACTTCCCAGAAGCCGCGGAGGCCACCACAGACGTATCGCAGAACAAAGTTATGAAGCTTAAGAAGGTATACGATGCTCTCCAACAGCCCCTTACTCATTTCCTAGAATCTTCCAACCCAGATTGGCTACTCTTCGATTTTGCAGCTTACTGGGCCCCAACTACTGCCCGTAACCTTGGCATACCATGTGCCTTCTTTAGCATATTCATCGGAGCATGCTTAGCTTTTGTTGGGCCCACTTCCCCGGAAATATCCCCGGATGATCGTAAGAACCCGGAGGATTACACCGTCCCGCCCAAGTGGGTCCCCTTCCCGTCCAACGTCGCGTTTCATTTGTTCGAAGTTCATCGAGTTTATCTCGACACCATTACCGGCGACGAAAGCAATGTTTCAGATATTTATCGGTTCATGGAGGGGATGAGGGGCTGTGATGTAATTGCAATAAGAGATTGCATGGAATTTGACCCTGAATGGCTGCGCTTATTACAAGATATTCACCGGAAACCGGTTTTACCGGTTGGTCAACTCCCCACTACAAATCATGAGGAGAATGATAGATGGGGGTCAATGAGCGAGTGGTTGGACAGGCAACCGAAAGCATCGGTTGTGTATGTGGCTTTTGGAAGTGAGGCCATGCCGAGCCAAGAGGAAATTACTACAATAGCCCTAGGGTTAGAGCTGTCTGAGCTGCCGTTTATTTGGGTGTTGAGAACCAATGTGGTTAAGTTGCCTCAGGGTTTTGAGGAGAGGATAGGAGGTCGTGGACTGGTTTGCAGGAGCTGGGCCCCGCAGTTGAAGATTTTGGGTCATGACTCGGTTGGGGTGTTCCTGAGTCACTCCGGTTGGAGCTCGGTGGTGGAGGCGTTGAGTTTTGGTAGAGCTCTTGTGTTGTTGACCATGTCCAATGACCAAGGGTTGAATGCAAGGCTTTTGGAGGAAAGGAAGATTGGGTATTGCATTCCGAGGGACGAGGAAGACGGGTCGTTTACCAGTGACTCGGTGGCTGAGTCGCTCAAGTTGGTGATAGAGATGGAGGAAGGGAAGATTTACAGAGACAAGGCTAAGGAGTTGAAGCCGTTGTTTGGAGATAGAAAGAAGCAAGACACGTACGTGCATAATTTTCTAGAATATCTTAAAGCTCATGCACGAAATGCTTCCAAGAAGGTCTAGACTCTAGACTACCCAATGCTTCCAACAAGGTACATTATATGCATGTGATAATATCTCGTTGAGATGATACAAATATAATTACTCGATGGATAAATTTGTATGAAAATACGTATCTCGTATTGTATTTAATGGATATATTTTCTGGCATGTGTATTTTAAATCATTTATTTAGAGAGTCAGAAATATGATAGAATGAATGGATATAAAATAAACTAGTCCTTCCTAATCAATCTAATTCCTTTAAAAAAAAAGAAAAAAAAAGCAGAATTAGATTAGTTTTTCAGTCATGTGAGTGATGATGAGTCGAATGATTGTAGTTGTCAATTTCCTTTATAGGAGTTGACAAAGCTCATGAGGATTAGTTTTGCAGCGTCAGGCACAAATATTTGTGTTTATTGTAAATAGCCATGATGCAACCACATTTTAATAGTCAGTTTCGTTTATAGGAGTTTCCATTGCTTATTGTCAATAAATCTGTTTAACTATTTTTATACGAGGAAAATGAATAATTCTTATCTTACTAAGGTTTGAGACAACTCGTGGTGCGTATAAGTCCTTGTAGAAAAAAGAAATAAAGAAGACAGGTATTATTGTCATTGTATCCTTGTGCTACTAGGTCCAATGGAAAAAGATGTTAAAACATTACGAAGAGTTGGTGGGACTATTCTTCTTCTGACTAGTTGTTAGCGAAGTGTACGATTCATGAATGCACTTCCAGTAGGTCAAAGATCTCGACAACAACATTAACTTTTTCTGAATTGGGA